TTACAATAGTTGAGCGCCACGTATTTAAAAAATATTTAAATAGTTTTAATATAAAACCGTTAAATAAGTGGTCAATTTTGAACCAAAAGGTGGATGACAAGGGTATTTTGGAGCCAATAGGTGGGTGAGAAGGGTATTTTGGAGCCAATAGGTGGATGGAGGGTAATTTTGTACCATTTCCAATACTTGGAGGGTATTTTAGGCCCTTTTCCGAATTGAAAAAGAAGAATAAAAAAAATCAAGCAAATCACCTTTTTATCCATAGTGTTTTATGCTCTGTATAACATTTTTTATATTTTGTATTAGCGTTTAGACATAATACAAATATACTAAATTTGATTTTTTGCAGAGTCCTCCTCCCCTTGACCCTACGGGGGAGACAATACCACTATGTTGTCATTTGAATTTGAATGCATGACCTTGAAAGTGAGATAATAATGAACTTTGTACTCATATTAACCAAGTTAATCAATTATTCAATTTTTTTGTAAACTATTCGAAACTTTTTAATTTCTTCATCATAAAGTAACTTTTTATGATTACTTTAATCGGGCTGCTACTTTGATTGTCAATGAGTTAAATTAACATATAACATCTCTAAAGAAAAGGTGTAGGGTATATATTAATGTATTAGTTTATGATTAGGCATTTCCTTTATGAAGTTTTCAAAAATGGGAGTTAGTAGATGCTTCATTCCAGTGCAAAACATACGATGAAACTGAAGCCTAAACTTTTAACTTATTAGAAACTTTGATTTTGGGTCATTTGAGGTTTTAAGTCTAAATTCTAATGAAAGCAAAAATATTAAGTGATCTATTCCATATGTTTAAATTTTAGTAGACAGAGTTATCTGATAACTATCTTGGAGTTAGAAAAGTGCTATGTGAACTTAGTCGAGGTAGTGAGGGTGTAATTTGAAATTAATCTAGGTACACACAAGCTAGAAATAGTAAAATATTGTGCAAGATTAATCGAGATATGCATAAGCTAATCCAAGTACCACATTATCAAAATAAAATGTTGTCTGTTTAAATAGGATTCCTCCCAGTCATGGTAGCACAGAATAGTAGCACAAGTGCCAAATAGCACCGGCTGATTGCCTAAAAAATAAAACAAGGTTCAACTGCAGTAGACATCTAAATCCCATCCATGGCATGACAAGTAGCAAAAGGACTAGAACACCTTGTGATTCATGCCTTCATCATGAACTGTACAACAGTTCAATTGAGACTAACAAGCCCAGCAGTATATGCAACAAATACCTGATGTAATTCCACAAGTATGGTCTGAGGAGGGTAGTGTGTACACACAAATCTTACTCCCTTTAGGAGGTAAAAAGGTTGTTTATGATAGACCAACATCATAAGCACTAACTAAAATATGAAGGAACCAGCAACACACTTGTGCATGTATGAGTATATGTAACCCGCAATCCCAAAATAACACATTTCACGCAGTGCAAATAATTACAACAGATCCTTGAAGTTCAAGAAGCTAGCATGAGTAGAATACTTGAGGCATTGTAGAGATTGTGTAAGTGTTTATATAATTTGTTGATTGTCATTGTACTCCTTTCTAGGCAAAATGTGGTGGCTATTGTCATGGATCTTCTATTTGTAATTCCTATTTTATCCATGAATACTTATTTAATCTTCTGATCTATTCCATCCACCTGGTCCTGGTAATTGTAAATCTCACTTCTTTGGTCTTCCTTTTTTGTGTGTTTGTTCTTTTCAAATTTCAAATTTATATTACCTTTTCAGTAAAGTCAACAGTTGAAGTTCTTTTTGCATCAGGGAGGCATTTTGATATCACGCCGTCTGCAAACAGATTCTACAAGCCATAACCCAACGGCCAATCACCAAGTCCGACTAACTCCTATGAAATTCTTGGAACTTATCTCTCATGGGATAGTTTTTACCATTTTGTGGTGATTTTGTTTGTCAATGAATTTAAAGCATTCATAATTGTTTGATATTTATCCGCTTTCTAAAGATAACATAAGTTTCTCTTTTATTTTTTAGGTGCATGATGCAGAGAAGTGTCAACTAAATAACTATTGTGGTATTGATAGAAAAAGAGATGGAGACCAGTTTGATTAAGCATCAGGCAAAGACAACTTGATTGCTGGCTATGAAGTTGCCTCAGGTCACTAATAGACTACCCATCAACGAAGGTCATATTCCCTGCACGAATGATCTACAAGGAGACAATTAAAGCATGAGCCTCTCACACGATAACACGATACGCTTTGCAGTTAAGTTTCGAAAGGTCTGTGAAACAATTGTAGGTACAACAACAAATAGAAATGAAAAAATATGAACAATAGTAGAATTATCATGCTGGAAACTGGAAAGTCCTTATAGTTGTGATTTGTAAATTCTTTTAGTGTTAGTTTTCTTTTAATCATACTCTTTATTACTTTAACTAGGTATTGTTTTGAAGAAAAAATATTTCAAAATTTTTCATGTGTCAAAAATTTTGAAGTACAAGTTATGTTACAAATTGATATCTTTTACTTTGTCATGATATTGTTTCTAATTATCCACTTCGAAACTTTGTAATTTATCATTGCATGTTAGTTATTGCAGGAGAAAAAACAAACTCATCTTCAAAGCTTTCGTCAAGTATTTTGATATTCCAAGCAGATGTTAGTTCTAGATATATGTAAACAGGATTACTATAGTTCTGCCTGGTGCCTCTTCGGTCCCTTTATTATAGAAAAATTTCAACTAACTACTTGAAAATATAAAATGTTGGCCCGTGCATAGCCAATCTATTATATTTATTATCATATAAAGAAGAGACAGTTGAGGTGTTTCACCACTCTGTTCCATCGTCATGCTTGCTTTGTCATCCTAAGGACAGTTTAAGTGCCAAAGCAGGTAGCAAATCAACACGCCTGCTTTGGCACTTCAAGGGTAGTTTAGTAATTTTGTATTATTTATTAATTTTAATTTATTTGTCATATTTTCAGTCATTTACGTATTTAAAAAATTACATCAAAATATTATAAATAGTGACAATTAATAGCTTAAAATGCTTTTTCAAACATAGAAAAAATTAATTGATTCTGAAAATTATATTAATGCCATATAAAATGGGACAAATGAAGTAGCATG